TATTCAATTCGTATCCAGACGTTAACTAGAAAGGAGTTTCGTTCGCTCGCAAACACATCTGACACGAATACAAACCAACACGAAATTTCCATAATTTCCAACCCCCTCCCTTTAGACACAACACAGGCACAAATGTAATGCGCATATAATCGTAATTCCCGAAATTGAAACGATATTCCATTAGACACCCATCAAGACAGACAAATATAAAAATAAAGGAATAAACAAGCAAATAAAAAAAGAAAGAAACAAACAAATAAATGCAGAAACATACAACGAATATAAATGAAATAAAGTCGACGGAGGGTTTAAACTTAAATTACGCGTTTATATGTTAAAACTTTGGGAGATACGGCGAAAGAAAAAGAAAATATTAAAACGTGAATTGTAATTGAAAACATTTTTATTTGGAAGGAAACGACGGGCAGAAGGAAAACAAGCGAATGTTCTGAATCCTCCGCAAATAATGGTACTTTTATAAATAAATAAATTGATTGGTTTAGTACAAGTTTCAATTATAAAAATAATTGTCCCCTCAAGACTATACCACATGCACTAATATATATATAAAAATATTATAATAAAAGAAACATAAACGATTGTATAACTATATACAAAGGGCTGTTGACCGTAGTCTTTCCGCCCATATATAAATTAACAATAATATTATTTAATAATAGTTGTAGTATATCATTTTCTAAATCTCGCACTTGCCTTCATTTTATACTTAATTTGTTTTATAAAGAATTTAAAATTTAGTCTTTGGTCAAATATGACACCAATGGCGACTGCAATCACAATCATTTCCATCCGGTAGAAAGGAATATAAAAAATTGATGGATTAACATAGTTCCTTCACCAATAAATAAATCGGCCCAAAAGGTACTGAAGGGAACTAGCCGAATATTGCGAGAATAATCCAATATAATGATAAAAAATATTTATTGTACAATAAATATTGATCGCAGTCTTACCTTTTTACTAAAACAAATTGTCATATTTTCTTCTAATTTGATGATTCTACCATCGCGGTCAAAAAAATAAAAAAAATATATTTGTAATGAACTTCCAAAAAGATTTGATTTAAAAATTTTGAAATTCTCAAATTTAATTGATTAATTTTAATAAAAAATTGTAAATATATTTAAATTTTAATATCTTATAAATGTAGAGTTTTTTTTAATAATTCTGGATTTTTCTGTTTTACATGTTAGGTTAGGTACAACTTCAAATATTTAAGTAGTTAGAAAATGGACAGATTTTTTTTTCTTTAAAAAAAATCAGTAATATAGATATCGCATAAACAGTCTACTTTAATTGATCTAATTAATGAATATACAGAAGATATTCTAATTGACATTGAATATATCATTTGTGTAATACCATCATTTAAATAATTTCAAATAAATCAACATATTTTTTAAAATGTAATTTAAATATAATTATGTAAATAAAGCAGCAAAATAGTGCATATACAAAAGCAAACATAATACAATAAAATAACTGAAATACTAACATAAACACAATTTTAAACATATAAACTGTACTATGCAATTATTTGATAATTAAACTTTTATTTAGAATAATCTACCGACATAATAAACATGGTTTGGCTATAAATATCTTTATCTAGCATTAATTTAAAACAGTAACAAATATGTAATCATTGTTATTCTGTAACTAGAAATTACATTATATAAAATTTAGAAATATTAATTGAGTAATGCTACTAAAATCAGTTGTCTTACGAATTTAATATAATCTAAAGTTATAGATCAGAAAATTAAAGGGGGAACATTAAATTACTTCAATTTTATTTTAACTCACTGGAATCTTTTTTTTTTGTAGCGGAGAGGAAACCTTACATAGGGACCATGGGTGGAGTCATGGTACTGTGGAATTCTTACCGCACTAAAACCTCTCCCCTTCTTCGCCAGCATGCAGGACCTGTATCGCTATACCNNNNCTGGTACTTCCCCTAGTTAGTTAAATGTCTAATCACTTTATATTCATTTTTTGGTGTAACTAGCCCCCCCTAAAATACTGGATTCCATAATGTGCTCTCCAGATTTTGAAGCCTCTGTCATAAATATGAAGTGTGGTCTCTAATGCAAGTGTGGGGAGTAACTTTTAAAAAAAAGTATGTGAGAGAAAAAAAAATATGAGATCAGGGGGATGAAAACCAGACGCCTTTGGATACATGCAATTAGTTATGCTTATTAGTTTGATAAGTACTTTCTGTAATAGTTAGTAACTACACATTCTACTGAAGTTTACTAAACGTACGTGACATTAATTTGGTATTTCATGTTTCACAGGTTATTTACTAATATATATATATATATAGAAGTTGTCAAATACAATTTCTTCGCCATCTAAAGTTTATTAAAGAAATTAATATTTGAAGCATTTCATTTTTTATATATATTTTCTAAGAATTACTGAAAAAAAACTGTAACAGATTACACTTTTGCGAATGACTGGTTTCAATTAGATCATAATCAAGTATAATGAAACTCCATCAACTACGCTCTTAGTTCCATTTCTTCTTTTCGCATCTACTTTCAGGGCCAACATATATTATGTTGGGATAATGGTATTAAATTGTAAAAAAGACGTCTGCCAGGATCTGTCTTTCCATATACATCCTCTATTTTTACTGTCGTGTTCGATAATAAATATTGCGGATTCTCGTTCCATATTTTCTCGACAGAAATTGCGACAACAAAAATACGGCCATTTCATGCCTAATTGCGTTTCGATTTATTATCCATTTTGCGACACCCGCCACCCCGCGCCAACAACAACAAAAAACGAAGCACAGCCAACGACGGGGGCCGAAAAAAAACATATTATTGATAACAAAGGATTCCATCCAGATTTATGTTCGCCAGACAAAAGCTCTGTCAGTTCTAAATTTATTTCATTTACATACCACCCACTCTCATACACACCCGAACACAGAAAAAAAGAAACACACTACGTACGCACAAAAACAAACGAGTCCATAATTTGCTTTCAAAGTTAACAGGACTTTATTTCTGCGTACGTTTGATATTTGCGACCAGAAGCAAAAAATAAACAATTTGAAGTAACAGGAATGGTTTGTTTGTCAACCAAACGATAATTACTACAAAGCTGTTATTAAAAAAGTTTACACTCAATGCACATAACGTACACAAATTAAGCTAAGCGAATGTACGTTGACCGAATGGAAAATTCACAATTGCATGAATGCATTTCTAATACACAAACATACCCGACCTTCATACGAACGTTCAGGTATATTTAGGTTAAAATAACAAATTCTATTATTTTACATTTTACGATTTATTAAAGAAACAAATATAAAAGCTTACATTGATGAATACAACCATAAATAGCCGCCTACTGATGTATTTAATTTTATTGTATGTTCATCGCATATTTCCAGGATACTTTTGTTAATAATTTATTTTGTACGTATTATCAAATTTTGAATAAAATAATATATGTTAATTGAGTACTTACTACATTTCCTTTTACATTTGTAATGGTAATATGAAGTCTTTTTTTATACAAAAATTATGTATCAGGTTTTTAGATTTTCATAATGTTCAGGACTATTTATATATAGTATTCATTGTTAGATTTATTAGTTGATTTTGAGATAATAATTAGAATTAGATAATATAAATGTTGATACTGTTGTTTTGTTTCTCAATCTATTAGTATTTCATACTAACGACAATATATAGTAATAATAATATAAAATGTTGTATTACAACAGTCATTTATTCTATAAAATTTTCTTATATTGTAGATATTACAATTTTGCTATTCGAGGTTTTTCCTATTTTTCAATGTTTATATAAGCTCTTTAAGTACAGTAGGACCTCGTTTAGCGCTGCCTCGATAAACTCTGATATGCTATAACGCGGTTTGCTGGAAACCTTAAAAAAGCTCAAAATTTACCCAAAATTACCGTGGCTTTTCACACGTAGCTCTATGCTTCTCCAGAATCTATGCTTGTTTGAGATGTAGATGAGGAAGATACTACGTGTGCAGGTTTCTGGTGAATGCCTTACCAACTATGACCTTCAAGAACTGACAGAAGAAGAAATTGAAGAACGCGAAATTAGTCATTCTGAAGACGTTGAACCAAAAGAACTTGCTACAGATTTCCTTACAAAACGACAACCGAAATCGTTGATCAAATTGATGACAGGAGTGCAAAAGCAATAATACGAGTTTTAAAAGAAAAACAAATCTACAAATGACTCTAAACGATTTTATCACCAAAAAATATAATATTTCTATGTACAAATATTTGTGTTATATAAAACATATATTATAATGCACATTACTATAAATACAACTTAAAATTAATGTAAAATTTGTTTAGTTTAGGTCACGGGTTCCCGTTTCCCTATTTGCTATGTGTTAAAATGACCTCGTTTAGGAACGCTTCTAAAGCGCTAAACGAGGTCTTACTGTATTTAGTATTTCACAGATAATTAAAATCAATAAATGTATTTCAACGCGTATTGCAAATTATGGAAAGCATTTATTAATCCTTTAATTTTCTTGAATATGAATAGTCGCAAGTCCCATATACCTCAAATTTTTTATATGAATGTTATCGATTCATTATTGCCTATATTGTAAAACAAATGAACAACAAAATAATTTAAATTTGTTAATTTTAATTATACAATTAACTCTAAATTTTATTTATTTTCAATCTTATACTTTGTAATATATTTCATGTTTAAATCTCAATTCTATTTTTAATGAAATCAACACACAATCTATCAAAAAGCCATTTCTAATGTCAAATGTGTCCCAATTTAATCCTCTAGAACCTCTAAATTGTGTCTTATTAAATATTTCATTTTAATATTATTGCATATAATATAATTGGTACAACTAATTTCAGTACAAATATTATTGTTTTATAAATAAGAATGCATATTTATATGTCGATAAAATTATTCTAATTTTATTTAAAAACACTCTATACATTTATTACACATTTAATATAATCAGTACGAAAGTAAAACAGTTTTCTATCCTCTAGAAAAACTAAAATACATTATTTTAAAGCAAAAACTCTATAACATCAATAATAACACTTCAACAGTAATATTGCCTGTACAAAAGTAACAACGAATTCAGCCGCATCATCCAATGTTTCATGATATCTTCATTGTTAAACTGCAGAACATTGGAAACACGATCAACTCCGTCAATACTTTCCCATGCTATGGAATTAATAACAACGTTCTGTTTTATAGTTCCAACGATATTTTGAAAGCACAAAAATAACTTCTGCTCGGAGGACTGATCGAAAAATTGAAGACCTTGCTTACCCAGAACGCACCAGAACCTTCCACCAAACTCGTCTTTACCAATGCGAATACCATAATTGACGTAATTGGCCAGATGCTCTTGAATCGATAATCTGCCCTTAAAATCCATAGTGAATTTTCCATCAAGATCGGAATCACGATTTATGATTTTCATCTCATATTTTCCGATTTTCTGGAAGTTGGCTGTGGTTAAAACAATTTGACCTTCCATCTGAAGTTTCGGTTTTGAGATCAAGTTGACTATAGGTTTAAGTTGTTTGTTGGTTCTAGGTACAGTCAACGAATAAACGCTAAGAATAATTTCGAAATTGGACTCGATTGATTCAAATGAGATATGCTCTTGGAAGACCATGAAGTTGCTACTGGTTACTTCGGTCCATTGAGTACCAAACACCTGATCCTCGCAGGAAAATATACAGAGGTAAAAGGTTTTGTTGAGACTTAAGTATGTACCCTTGCGCCCAACCACAGAGAACATCAAATTTTTGATAGTCGTTGCGCCATGATTCACGTCCGTAACATCTCGGTAAATTTCCTTCCTGATTGCTTCCAATTTAAGTTCTAAAAGTCAAGAAACAAAACATCAATTTTTATATTCATCAATTATCTTTAACTGTACTTACTTGTCAATAACGAAACCCTGATGGCTTCCCTCTCCTGTTCGCCGCCAATTACACTTAAATTGTTTCTACAAAACCTCAGAGCTTTCTTACTTTGCCCCAAGAGTTTTGACTGCAAAGCTGTGGCCCTTCCCAATTTTGCATACTTATCAGTGAAGGAGAATTTAGGAGAATTAGGAGGGCTTAATTCCTCATAATACTTAGGTGGAGATTCCATAGAATACGTGGATTTCGAATCTATAGAATTCGTGGATTTCGATTCTATAGAATACGTGGATGGAGATTCCGTAAAATACATGGATGGAGTTTGAAGGCCGCAAATCTCCAAGTACAAATCATCAGTTTGCTTTATCAAAGTATCTAACGAATCGAAAGTTAAATCCTTCATCTCGACAATCTGAAATAATGAATCAAATTAAATTCTTAATCAATAAAATGCATAATTTTAAGTATTGAAAATAAATATTCATTTTAAACGTTCTGAATCAAATTTTGCTAAAGAGTAAACACTATTTTTTTTTATTTACCAAAGAAGCCAATGTTTTTTACTTACATTTTTTATTTGCATTTCCAAGTCAACGTTCGCGTACACACTATCTTCGCTCTCTGATGTATCTACACATACATCCTTTTCTGGACACATAACTAAATCTTGCTCATTTTGATTCATCGTGTTATAACAAAATATATACTCCACAGAGTTTTTTTCTTATACTTATGCCTAAAGGCTAACTCTTTGAAGCGCAAACTAAGACTGATTGTGGATTAGAAAAAAACTACGTTTTATTAAACATTCCTTTGGAGGGGATAAACTACCCCAAATTTCAGGTAAAAAAAATGCTTATTTTTTTCATGTTTATGACAAGGCAATAAAATTTGTATTTTCGTATTTTGCTTCAATTTCTTTGCAAAATTTAATTATTTTATAATTATTAATTATTGCAATAATAATAAAGAAATAATAAGACACAAAACATTTACAGAAAAATATAAATCTATTATAACAAAAGCGCCTTTTGAATATTATGAATATTCTTTTATACTTTGTTTTTTGAAATATGAAGAATTGAGTGACTAGCTGAGAAGTTATTTTAAAGATGAAAAAAAATGTAAAAGTTTAATAATTCAAAAGTCATTTCACCAATAATAGATAATTTATTTTTATCCAAATAGAAGGTTGTCGCTAATACTATACTATATAAATACATTTTCAATAAAACAAAACTAAAATTTATTATATTTTTAATCTTTTTACCTTACTTATATTTATTATATAATATATATGTAATAGTTTTGAATTGATTTGGTAATTATGAATAAGATCAAGAAATTCATTTATAATTTATTTATATTTTATAACTTTCTATCTTAATAATAAATTGTAAAAAAATAATATTTTCGCCATTTTTGAGAATGTGTAGTTATTGTTGTTGATTTTAAAAATATTTGAAATTATTTGCATAATCAAACTTGAAGGTATTAAGGAAAACAACAACAACTAGTGCAGGTACTTCAATAAACGAGAACACGTATTAAAAGTAAATTAAGGTTCTATTGTTTTCGAAGGGCGACTAATAGCCGCAGATTCACAGTGAAAGGAAATAGTGGAATCACAGAGCATCAATATACTGCTGAAGCTAACCTACAAGAGGACAGCCAATCAACAAATTAAAAAAATCTAATAATCATAATGTTAAACTATCCGGGAAAGATTACCTACCTAATGTCAACCGCAATCTTAAATTTACTCAATGTTCACAGTGATGAACAGATTGTAAATAAAATTACACGACATAAAAAAATAAATGTTTTGGTAAAATCAAACTTTAAAGTATTTTTATATTCAGAAAGTATAACAGACAATAATGATTACAGTATTTGAAATTGAAAAAAATATATTAACAACACAAAAAAAGAATTTACTGTTTGTAGCAGGGTTTACTAAACATTTATTGCAACGGAACACTTTGTAAATGCTGAAATTTTCACGGAACACCTATTAATTTTTCGCCGAACATAGTTTGGGGAAACCCTGGTTTAGAGAAAAAAAAACAGGATCATTATTATATTATGTAAAATAAATAATGCTATGACTAACTTTTTAGAAATTATTTATATACCATCATAACACAAACATAAAATAAGATTGAAGTTTTTTCAAAGGGATTCAGAGTCAAAAACTTGAAATAATATTAAATGAATATATTATATACTACTTCTTGGAATTAAAACTACATGACTCTAAAAAAAATACTATTTTTTATTTAGCCATTATATAACCATTTCCCAATGTATAATAAAACATGAGTTCACCGAACTTTTAATTTATAATTATTTTTACTATCTTTATTTACAAGTCTCTATTGACGCTATTACGATGAAATGGGTACCGATGAAAGTTTTTCATCCATTTTTTCTAAATTATGTAATGAATTACTGCTAATAATGAAAATGATATATTTTTATTATATTACTTTTATTCTCATAATTTGTAAAAATACATAATTCAATATAGACATTGTTTCAGCTGTGAAGTGATTATCTTAAATATTCTATTTTCTGATTATCAACATGAAATAATGACTAAAACTATTACCGTCGTTATTGACGACCAAATTATGATGTTAATTCAAAATAATTTGACGTTCGATCGTCATATATCTTCGATTAACTCAAACAAAATGCAAATTTTCCAGTTTTTAAACCGGAGATTTTTATAGTAATATTTCTTACTTATTCAGTTTTCTTGGAGAAGATCTATTTCCTCAGAAAATTGGGACATTATGGGAGCATGAATGAAATTGTCTGAAAGATAACGAAAATTTATATAATAATGCATACAAAATTTTAATGTTGTAACCTAATAATTTTCAAAAAACTTGATTAATTTTATTTCATTTAGTAACTTAATACTTATGATATACAAAAACACATTTTCAATAATTTTAAAAGATGAACTTTTTAACTAAACGGCAGATTTGCAGAGACAATTTAATTGTTTACCTCAGGGGTTCTCAAAATTTTTCCGTTTGCGGCTCTCTTAATATATCAGATTTTTTCGCGGCGCACCTGTAGCACATCATCTGTGCCCTAAATTCAAAACATTGGTCTATGTCAGGGCGATTTTTATGTTAATAGTAGTTTTTCTTCGATTTCGGCGCCCCTATAGTAGACTCATGGCGCCTCGAGGCGTCAGTTTGGTGACCGCTGGTTTAGCTTATGACCGCAACCACGGCTTTTAAAGCAAATAAATGCTATTGACCGTGCTTTTCAATTACCCCAAATTCAAAGTTGATGGTGCCCACAAATTCAAATTTACTTAAGTTTTCCAAAATTTGCGTAATGTCCACAAATTACATTTAATTAGTTTATATTAAATTTTAAAATCAAGTAATTTGTATATAATTAATAAATATTTACTATTTTACTAAATTGTGGCAGCTTGTGAATAAATAAATGTTAAAAAAAATTTCTTTCTATATAATTACAATTGAATATGTTTATTTTGGGCAGAAAGTCCTATTGTCAATAACCCTTTGAAGCAGTTGAACTTTTGATTTATGATATTTGTATTATTGTATTGAGTTTTTTATTTTGTAATTTTACTGTACCAATAAATATTATTATTATTCTATGTTTATTTTTTATAAGTGCATGCATTCTTGATGTTGATAATTTTCCGTATATACATTGTAACGAACATTTTCTGTATGCAATTTTCGTTCTATTTTCTAGTTACCGTTGTGAAATCATCACAGAAAAATGCTGTTGTATTGCTAAAGTTGGTAACATTACGTTACATATTTATTTTTATTATTTGGAACGTGTGTATCTGTGTCTGAAAGCATCGTATGTTGTTAGGCCGATAAAATTCTGATCAGGGCAGATCCGGACCTGCCAATAAAGTTTGAATTATTGCCGGGCCCAGTATATAACATTTTTATAGGTGGTCGCCGTTATTTATCGCGGTAACATCGGAACACATTTCGATTTTGTACATTCCACCCCCCATTTTTTTTTATTATTATGATTATCATCAAACGAAATCGATGATTTGTTTTATTTTTGCAAATTTAATTAATCCAAACCGATTAGTCATTTATGTGTTCACCGATTCTCTCTCGCTCTACTTTTTTCCCCTACAAACGACCTCATTTAGTGCCCTCTCTATATCTTGCTTTCCCTTTTTTATTTCGATTCATTGAAGAGAAGCAGTGAGGAAAATCCGGTGGAAATCGTTTCGGGACGGGCGTTTATCAGTCACAACTGCCACTTTTATATTGAATGGCTTTACCCAAAACACATTTCCGGCCGTCCTCATCCTCGTCGTCCTTACTGCTGCTGCTTCTTCCGCTGAACTCCACTGGAATGGGGCGAATATTGGACAACTGCGCTCGATGGATTTCGCTTCCTCTTCGCTTTAAAAACTTTCGTCATAAAGCGTGAAACAAAACGATACTAAACGGACACTTGTTTGGATCTCCGCTGAAAATAATAACACTTCGGTTCGGATACCATTTTCAAATTATACTGCAGATAATGGATATGGAAGGTAAACGATTACCTAAAAATATTGTAAAAAGACAAAAACCTTTCTATATTTTGTTAATTTTATATTTTTTTTTAAATCTTTTATTATATGTATATACATAACAAAAAGAATAATTGTATTATTAATATTTGTTGGCTTTAATAGAAACAGTTTATTTTAAATGAATTTTTGTTTTTTAAATATTTTAATCAAAACAAATTTAACTAGACTTACACCATATTCAAAAAATCTTTTATTATCACATTTTCTATCAATAAAGATGCAGACGATTCCGCCTAATCGGGACACATCTGGATTAGTACATTTTGTCCAGATTAAGCGGCTGGACAAAGTTGTACAAAAATTACAGGATTAGATTTTTTTAGTATATTAATTAATAAATTTCACAAAATAAAACCAGTTACAAATATTAAAAAACTTGTATACTTACTACATAATAGAAAATGTTATAAATTCTGGAACATTAATAGAGTTTATCACTTTAGATGCGTTCCTGAAGACAGAGCTAGACGGTACAGCGTTACAGGGGATCAGTTTAACACATATCATATAGGAAAACGAGAATACAAGACCAAACATAAACAAATTTTACTTTAATTTTAAGTTGTATTTATAGTAATTTGCATTTTAATATATCTTATATATACATACATTTGTACACCGAAATATTATTTTCATTTTTGTGATGAAGGTCCTGGCTCGGTTATTGTTTCTAAATTTTTTCTAAGAAAATCTGTAGAAAGTTCTTTTGGTTTATCGTCTTCAGAATCACTATTTTCATTCAATTCCTTATTCTGTCAGTTCTTGAAAGTAGTCGTTGGTAAGTCCGTTACTAGAAACCTACAGTTACTCCT